TTTCGTCTTTGGTGCATCTGTCCTCCTGTTCACTGTGTACACAGACCATTTTACTTAGATGTTTTGCCTTTTAGACATAATTGTATGTCAAAAGTTTCAATTGAAAGTGAATTTATTTTTTTCTCTCTTTCTCAAATAATCTCACAGACCACCCCAATTGCAAAATATGTTACTGTGCCTTTCTTGCTGTTCTCTGTATTTGCTTTGCACTGTGGTCTGAACATTTTTTTCTAACTTCTACCTTCAAAGCTCGCTTAGACTATTTTGCAATTCCCTTTGCATCCGTTTTCTCTATGTCATGTGATCATGCTGTGTGCATGTCATATGTGCCAGTGCCTGCAGGTGTCTAGGCTATTTAGTTTCCAGAATATTTTTCTCTTACTGTTTTTCATCCTTCTTTCATTCTCATTATTGGTATTTTATTCATTCCAGTTCCTCTAAAGATGTGAAATTTAACATAGTTATTATTATTAATAGGTCTACCTGAAGACCCATTCAAAATAGCAATGAAAACCTTGTTCTTAAATTAGATCATGTTTTAAATTAGGTTTTCTACCTTGGAAGAATGGGCACAGAGACCAAAGTGTGTAACCAGAATTGCCAAGGAAGCTGTTACAAAATTCATGTGCCCTTTCCTGTCTTCACCATTTGCTGGTGTATAGGTGTGTGTGTGAGAGAGAGAGACAGAGACAGAGACAGAGAGAAACAGAGAGAAGCAGAGAGAGAAGATGGGTTGAGATTTGAGGAATCTTTCTTTGCACCTTCCCAGTTGAAAAACAATTTAGTTTTTGGTTGTGTACAATACAGCAGTACCCGATTATCATCAAGAGATACAATCTAAGACTGGAAGCGATACTTGAAACCAGATAGTACCAAACGCTGTCTGGCTGTCTTTCATTCTACCTGTCTTTTTTCATATACATACATACCTATGAGAAAGTTTAATTATAAATAAGGCACAGCAAGAGATTAACAACAATCAATAATAAAATTGAGGGGCTGGGGATTTAGCTCAGTGGCAAAAGCACCTGCCTGGCAAGCGCAAGGTCGTGAGTTCAGTTCCCGGTACCGGAGAAAAACCAAATAAATAAATAAATAAATAAAATTGAACAATTATAACAAGATACTCTAATAAAAGTTATTGAAAACTTATGAATATTTATTTCTGGAATTTTCCATGTAATATTTTCAAACTTTGATTGACCACAGGTAACTGAAACCACAGAGAGTGAAACTGCAGATACAGGGAGACTACTTGTAACCTGGTCCGCTAATACCATGCTTATTGAGTTGGTTATTTATTTATTTTTAAAAAACCTTGCCACCTACAGTTACTTTTGTTTAAAATTAAAACTGAAGGGACCGGGGATATAGCTCAGCGGCACAGTTCCTGCCTAGCAAGTGCAAGGTCCTGAGTTTGATTCCTGGTACCAAAATAAATAAATAAATTAAATTAAATTAAAACAAACTAAGATAAGGATTTTTTACTTAAGGGCATTTTCAAATCAATCAGCAAGAAAATAGTACCGTTTTTGCTGATTCATCAATCTGTTCACTAAAAGCACTTCTGGTCTATAAATACTCAGGTACATAGGAGTTAGTTAAAATGTAATTATTTGTAAACATGTTGCTGCAGATTAGATAAATTTGAAAATGCTGGAAATAGGATACACAAAGTTGATGTCGAACCGTTAAAATCATTAATGGTGTTTGTGGGAAACATTTTGAGAAGAGAGCAAAACGGAACCAGAAGGAAACTTAGAAGGGCTAGCTTTGAATTCGTTCTTCGGCACCACATTCTCTCGGACCATGCAGTTCGTCCTCGGGGCTCAGTGTGTCATCTGCGCAGCACCAGCGGCCTCTGTGCACAGAACTGTGAAGGTCAGATGTGCTCGTGTGGGGACAGTGCCCAGTAGCTCAGTATCCAGCTAGTTTTGACAGAATCTAAACCTGGAACCTATAGGTTGTTTTTCACATTGTGTGTGTATGTGTGTGTGTGTGTGTGTGAGAGAGAGAGAATTTAATATGTTCTCATAGGATGATAGGCAAAGTATGGGGTGTAAATGTGTGCATGTATGTTTGTGGGTATAAATTTCTGAAGATACTATTTCAGTATTGTGTAGATTTTCAGAAATCATATACAGGAACTTCCAAAGGTGCAGGGTTAATTTTACAATGCTACAGAGTTAATGTAGAGTTCCTCTTACGCTTATCTTTTCCTTCTGCCAGACTTGTTCTAGAGCCTACTTATTTCTCATCAAGGGTAAGGATCTAATAGTACAAACACTGTTTTATAGATATATAAATAGATACATAAATTCACTGTTATATATATTATATATAATATATATTATATTCCCTATATATAACACTGTTATATATATACTGTTATATATATATAAACGCACACATATATATATGTATATATATATATTTTTCCAAATGAGAACTAAATATTATCATGGTAGTCCTGTTTTATGGCTGCTTTGTAGTCCTGTTTACTGCCTTACTATCCATTTTAAAATTGTGAGAGGCAAACAATTTCTTAATAAGTCACTGCATATATACTGTATGTTAGGTGCTTTATAATTATTGGTAACATTACAGCAAACCATGAATAGGTGATATGCAGTTTTATAAATAAAGAGACTGAAGCTCCGAATGATAAATGATAAATCTATTTTCCAAGGTCAGAGAACTATTAAGAGAAGGAAAACCAGAAAGCAGGTGCAGGCTGATCTGACTAACGCATGGCACAGGGCTGCTGCTCAGTCACTAGTGTCAATCAAAGGAGTACGTTTTAGTGTAAAATAAAGGCAGTGGGGGCACTTTGCACCTTGGAGGGTGTAAGGGGCATTTTGGAGCTTAATTTTATGTTTTCTTTTTTCAGTTTTTCAACCTAACTTTTCACTTTGGGCAATGCATGTATCCTCAAGAGGTTATCACTGATCTCGGTTAGGTCCAGCTTCAAGGCCCTGGCAGCTTCTGGCTGTTTTTCCTTTTTTCTAAGCCTGTTTCTCTACTGTCATGTGACTTCTTCAGATCTTTCTTGAGGCATTGCTTATCACTTAGAGCTATGCCTCAGCTCCTTTCCTTAACCCCAGTTCTACTGTCTCTCACCCCAGCACACCAGAGTATTGTCATGAGGATAAAATGAGTTAATATATACAGAGTTCAGGACAGAGTCTGGTACACAGTAAATACTCAATGTTGATTAGCATTATTTTTAGGGGTACTGCTAGTAGCATTGTTATTAATTGTCATGATGGCGACCATGATAGTTGGTTTAAAAGTTTTAAATCCTTGAGGATCTGAGTGTTTCCTGTCCAGGATCTGGTTTTGTGCCATTCATTGTGCAGGGTCCCGAGCATGGACAAGCATCAGATGCGCAGGACAGGTGGAGATAGAAGGTGTAATGGAATGCTTGTTCCTACCCCAAATTTGCTGGAAACAGTAGCATGTGTATATTAACTCCTTGTCGTCAGCCACAGCAGCTCTCTACAAATCCCACTTACAAACCAGGTCCTTTTATCCTGGCTTCTTTGTACTTCCTTTATCTATGTAGAACATTAATGGTTTTGGAGTCACTAATAAGGTGACAATGTATATATATTTGTATATAATTTATACCATAGCTTATCCCTGCCCTTCCTGCTGGCCTTCTGGCCTCCTCACCATACTGAATAGTGTACAGTGTCACTCCATCTGCAAAGGCCTCCTGAGTAACCTTCCTTACCTTGCTCTCCACTTACGTTTTTTCTGTTATCCTTTAATACATAGTGTCTACTCCAGCACATGTATTGATTTTACTTTTTTTTTTCCTAATTCTTCACTTGATTTTTGCCCGTTCAGTGAGAAGTGATTCCTAATTCTTATGGTTAGTTATTTTTCCTGTCGCACATTTGAGTTGTATTGTAGGAAAGGCTGATGACAGACAATGTGATTTTATAAACCTTTCCATGAACTCCATAGAATTCATGAACTCCATAGAACCCATGGCAGGAAATTCTGAAGTCTTATCTGTGTGAAAGCTTCCTTCTTACAGTCCCCCTCTGTGATCTGTAATAGTGCACTTTGCTTGTCTCAGCTGAGCATTTGGGCCTCACTTTCTCTTCAGGCAAGTGATATCATCTGCAATCTTAGTGATCTCTTCTACTTTAGCACATTAAAAGCATATGTTGTACTGCAAGTTCTAAATAATCTTCCCTTTTAAAATTATGAATGCACAAGATATGAGGGGATAATGTAGGATTTGGAGATCATTTTGTCTGTGTGTAATGGACGTTTTAAATAAATGGTGTTTGTTGCAGTTATCCCAGTTCAAGTACAGTTTGCATTGTTTCTAGAAAGTGAAAAGTAAAATAAAACTCAAACCACTTTATTCTAATACTCAGATGACAGAAATTGTGGTGTACTTTTCTGTAGTTTTCATTTAACTTTATGTATTTAATTCAATATATTAATATAGAAATATTTGTATTTAATCATTTTTATAGCTATATAGTCATTAATTGAAATTTGTAATTTATATAAGAACTACAATTCATGTTCTGTGGCAGTATTGGGATATTCCTGTAATATTTTTGGTACAGTTTTAACAATATGAAAACTAAAGTTGATTATTTCCAATTTTAAAATCTGTATATGCACATTACAAAAAATGTAAATGGGGCTGGGGATTTAGCTCAGCAGCACAGCGCCTGCCTGGCAAGCGCAAGGTTGTGAGTTAGATTCCCGGTACTGGAAAAAAACAAACAAAAAAATATGTAAATGATAGAAAAACATAAAAATTTTAATTCCTTTAATTATCCCATTCCTGTTAACATATTGATGAGTAATTATTTTCTAAAACTTTACTTATAATTAGATTTGTGGAACTGTTTCTTGTGACAGAGTATGGATTAGCTGTTCTTTGCTTTTAGGTTTAGTCAAATACACAGTAAGTAACCCAGAATGTAATTTGTGAAATAATATTTCAGCTTTTTTTCTCCGTGCTTTAGGTATGTGTTCTTTTTGGATCCATGCAAACTGGACTTGATAAACCAGAAGATCAAGTCTGTAGCACTATGTGTAGCAGCATGTCCAAGAGAAGAATTGAAAACCTTGGGTGATGTCCAAAAGTTTGCAGAGATGAATGGTGAGATTTTAGGCTGTACAAATCTACAATCTAGTTACCTATAATTTCTATTAAATATTATGTGGTCATATTCTATTATAAAATAGAATACTACTTTTAGTATTTAGTATTTTAGTATTTGGTATTTAGTATTTTAGTATTTAGTATTCTATTACTAAATAGAATTCCTACTTTTAAATAAAATACCAAAGAACCTGAAGAGAAGAAGAGAATTGAAGTAATTTGGATTTCCTTATTAAAAGTATTAGACTTAACCTAGGGAGTTTGTTCAAACTCTAGATTCCTGAGGTGTGCTTGGATGCATGTCATCCCAGCTGCTGGGGAGGCTGAGACAAGAGGATCAGTTGAACCTGAGTTCAAAGCTAGCCTGGGCTGTATATTAAGATTCTCCTCTCAAAAGGACACAATAAACCAAACTAACCAACTAAACAACCCCAAGCCCCAAACCCTTATTATCTCACACCACGCCTTTACTCAAAACAAGATTCTAGATACCCAGACTCCTCCCAGGGAGATTCTTAGTAGGCCTTTGGCATCAGGAAATCGTTTTTTTTGTTTTTATTTTATTTTATTTATGTATTTATTTTAATAAATGCTTAGGTGATTTTGATGTAGTTTGTTGAGTATTTGGGAACTACTAGACCACTTCATGTAAAATTTGGATTGTTCCCCTCTTTTCAAGTATTGATTAAAAGTATTTCAGTTAATGTATATTTGTATATACTTTTAAAGTCTATGAATAACAGTGTAACATGTATATGTTACAGGAAATTTGAAAAGTTTAGAAAAAATATAAAGATGTAAAAACTCAAAATTGTACCATCGGTTCCTTTTCAGTGTGTTGCTGTATATATAATTTCTTGTTTTGCTTTCTTAACATTCTGTAATGGCTGTTGTTCTGCGGGAGTTGGCAGTTAAATATATGGGAATTAGTTGAGAAAACCAGTGGAGTCAGTTTCCAGAATCTAGTACTGTCCTGAGATTCTTGCCAAGTGCTGTCCTCAGCTCCACAGTGGCTTACCTCAGTTCTCTTCAGAAGTACTTCTACACCGTTTTCTGTTTAGGGCCATGTACTGATGTACCCTCTGGCCCACGTTTTGTTTTTTTATTTTAAGATCCTTGAGGTTTCATGTGTGTGCTTTGTGTGTAGGACTCCTCAGGCCCACCCAAATCCAAGGCTAGTTCTGGTTCCTTGGAACAGAGGCTCACTCAGGTACCCACCTATTTTACTTCAAGGTGGGTGCAGAAACAGCCAGGGTATCGCTGTGCACTCATCACTGTGGCTTAATGTTTCAAATGGGGCCTAGGCCTCCTGAAGACAGCAGCAGTGGAGCATTCCTGTCCTGTCACTCTGTCCCCTCAGCATGAAATGGTGAAAGGGGCCTGGGATTGATCTGGATTTCAATTCTGATTTTGTCACTAGCTCGGTAATAAAAGGTAGAAGTGCTTCTCTGTACCCAGATTTCCTCATCTGAAAAATGCGAGTTAAAAATAATACCTCCTTACAGGTTAGGAGGATTAAATGAGATGATGTCTGAAGAATACTCAGTGTGTGATGCGCACTAAATGAAGTGGTACCAACTACTATTTAAGATCCATGTTCTGCTCCCACGTGGTGTCCCTACATGTTTGTCTTGCTAAACCCTATGCCAGAACTGTCGGCCTCGTCACCATTGGGTTTCTAAAGGAGGGCTGAGTGACACCTTAAGGGTTTTTGTAAAATTCAGACATAGTAACATGCATACCTGGTAGGTGGTGGTACAGGCTCTGGAGTCAGCTGTCTGGTTTCAAACGTTGCTCCCTGTGATTAACAGCTCTGAGACCTTGGGCAAGTTAGTTAACCTCTCCATACCTCAGTTTCCCCATTCACATATAAAAATAATGTCTGTACCTAACTTACCTCATTAACATTGTTAGGATGAATCATTAAGTGAAAAATGCTTAGGGCAGTATCTGGCAAATACTAAATAGCTAAAAATAGTGTTGGTTGCCACCGTTGTCCTTAATGTTCCACAAGGGGAGCATAATAGTCTTCCCATGACTAATCTCTCTACTTAGAGCTCCTTTAGGTACTGCTGCCATATAAACGTTCCCAGAGTTTCACTCAGTGCTATGCTAATTCATTGCTGAGAAATCCTCAGCAGCAAAATTAATAAAATAAAAATCTCTATGGCTTACACTGGCATTCAGGGTTATAATCGCGTCTTGAACTACCTTCCAACGTGTCCTGTCAGGCCTGTGGGATGTGACTCTTGCTTCCTTGAACCTGAGCTATTACCTGAAGAGGTAGTTCCCTGTCTGCTCTGTGGCCTGCTGAGAAAATTCCTTGATGAAAAACAGACTGTGCCACCCTGGCGTGCTTTGTTTCCAGGCTGGCATCCTTCTAAGTGAATATGATACTAAGTGTGGTCTCAGTAGAAGACCTACCTGGTGGGTTTTTCAGACCATGTGAAGATCTACCATTAAAAATAAATTACAGATGCTGGCGAGGCTGTGGAGCAACTGGGCCCTTGTGCATTATTGGTTGGAATATAAAATGCAGCTACTATGGAAAAAGTATGGAAGTTTCTTTACAAATCAAAAATAGAACTACCACATGATCCCAGCAGTCTCACTTCTGGGTATGTGTATAGAAAAATCAATAACAGGATCACAAATATTTGCATATTCTTTTTCATTGTAGCATTATTCACATCTAAGAGGTAGAAGCAATTTAAGTGTCCCACAACATTTAGAATGGATAAAGAAATTGTGGTATATACATACAATGAAATACTACTTAGTCTTTAAAAAGATGAAAACCTAATCACGTGCTACAGTATGGCTAAAACTTGAGAACATTATGCTAGGCAAAATAAGCCATTCACAAAAGGAGAAGTAGTATAGGATTCCACATATATGAGATCCACAGAGTACTCAAATTGATAGAGACAGAAAGTATGTGGTTTCCAAGAGCTGTGTGGAGGATACAGTAGTTTTTTTTGTTTTTTTTTTTTTAATAGGTAAAGACTTTCAGCTTTGCATGAAGAGAGTTCTGGAGATGGATGGTAGTAATGGTTATATAATAATGTAAAAGTACTTAATGTCACTGAACTATACATTTACAAATGGTATATATTTTATAGTATGTGTTTTGTACCATAATTTGAAGAAACATTCTTGAAAGAGAAGAATCTTATTTGAGGTAGTAACTTTTAAATGCTAATTCTAAACCTTATTTTTAAATGCAGGGTAAAATAACATGTTTCCTTCCAGAATGAAAAGATAATATAAATACTTTTCAAGGCAATTTAAGTTTCCATGACAACACTTGAAAGTACTTTTTAGCCCAACCATCCATTTGTATGAACTCTTTAGAAATTATTTAAAATTTTGTAAGAGGAAGCTCTTGAGTCTTACAGCATGTTTGTAAGAAATACATTTATTAGGCAAATAAAATATTCCCTTACATGTTTGTTTCTTTCAGACAAGAAAGAAGAGTTGTTTTCTTGGATACTTAGAGTTTGTGGAAAGCCTTTGTCAAGTAGAATAGAGAGTTTGGAAGAAATAGCTGGAAATCAGGTTGGTTATGTTAGATACTGCCTTAATACAGAAAGCTTTGAAAATAGGCAGGAGAATTTAGTTGAATCTAAAGGTACACATTCTAGGTTGTGAGTTGGGTGACTGGTGTACAAATAAATGTGTTTTGTTATTGTGGTTCATAATCCATATATAATTTAAATATTATTAAATATGTGATGCTAGAAAACAATTTTTAAATGGTCTTTAAATATTGCAGTTGCCAAATATCCTAAAGGCTCGCTATCAAAATTCTTTCAGTTCCTTATCATCTTCTTGAGGTTGTATATGAATTTATGTGGGGCAGGATTATGCTCTTTTCATTTCTGAATATCTGGGCCCAATGTAGGAGCTCATACAGTAGATATCTATAAATGGTTTTTGAAAGAATGTTGGCGTGGACTTTCCTATTCATCTTAATACCACTTAATAATTTCTTGTTTTCGTAATATACTTTACCCTCAGTTCTGTATCTATGTGAGCTACCACCAGCAGGTAACTTGTTTAGCTTCAATCTAGCCAGAAATGCTATGAAATCAGTTCATTTTATTCATTCCTAAGTACAGTAACTTATCTTATTCATCTGTCTCCCTTATACATACTCTCCAAGTGATTACTCATACCTTTTCTTCACATAAGTCCTCTTGTTCATCCTCTTTGCTAACCTTATGCCCTACAGAGAAAATTGAGATCATCTGATAGGAGGTCCCATCCAAGCTATTTTCAGCAAAGTGTGAATTCCATCTTACTTTCACTTTCCATCCCTGCAGTTTCTCATGAATAGGTTTCTTTCCTCATTTATCATTATTTTTGAAAACACAAAGCATGCATACTTTCTTGAAGGAAAAAAATGAGTCTTCCTTCTGAAGCTTTGGCTTTATTATATGAGATTTTCATCTCATTCCAAACATACTGACAGATGGTGAATAAGGACAGACAGTACCTGCTTAGGCAACTCTCCTTTTTCTCTCTCCCTAATTCTCGCCCAACATCTCTATAGTCTACTCTTTATTCACTCCACTGTCCCATTGTTGAGCATGGGCATCTAAGGTTTAGTAGATACAGTATTTAACCCCAGGTTTAGTTCTAGTGTCCCATGTTGATACTTAGTGTCCCATGCACTGGGCCAGTTGCTTTGCCTTTCATTTTGTTCTCTCTCTGCTGTCTGAATTCCAGCCAGCAATTTAGAAATGGATATAACATGTAAGTTAGAGACTGACTACATGTTCTCAGTTGGCGATAATATTTCAGATGGGATTGTAACTATCTTTTCCATTACTCTTACCAAACTGTTTTTTAATATATATTTTGTCTCCCCAGTATGGTAATAAACTGGCAAAAATCTCATTTTCCTTTTGTTGGCAACCCCTTTTATAGCTTGTGAAAAAGTACTGCCATTTAAGAGTGCTTCTTTAATATACTATATGACATATAATTGTAAA